GACGAGACAAGCAGTCTGCTGTGTGGTTCTGGGAACCTGGCCTATAAACGACGTCATAATTAAAACATAGCAGACGTGCCGCCCAACGAGCAATCCGCATTCCGGCTCTCCCCATGCCTTTTGTAGAGAGTAAGGTGGTGAGTGCCTGATGGTCAGTGCGAAGTGTAAAGCGATGGCCCCACACGTACGTTCGCCATTTCTCAGTAGCCCACACACATGCCAGGGCCTCCTTCTCCACGATAGAATATTTCTTTTCAGCATCCGTGAGTGTGCGAGAAGCGAAAGCCACTGGTTTTTCTGTTCCGTCTGATTGCACTTGGGTGAACACTGCACCCAACCCGTAGTCGCTGGCATCCGTTGAAATGATTGAATGAAGTGTGGGATCATAAATAGCAAGAGCTGGACTGGACACAAGCATTTGTTTAATGTTCTCAAAACTGCTTTGAGCAGCAGGCGTCCAAGAAAATTGTCCCTTTTCTTTAGCGCACTCACGCATTGGGGCAAACACTGTCGCAAACCCAGGAAGGAATTTTGAGTACCAGGACACTAATCCTAGAAAGGATTGAAGGGATGCTGCATCAGATGGAGGCGGAGCTTCACGGACCGCATTCAGATGCTCTCGATCAGGTAGGATTCCATTAGCGCTGATTACATGGCCCAGGAACCGCAGTGAAGTCTGTTTGAAATTGCATTTTTTTTCATTTAACACCAGCCCAGACTCTTTCAATTTCTGCAGTACTGTACTGAGGTTGAAGTCATGGTCCTCAGCCGTTTCTCCATACACGATAACATCATCCAAGTAATTTTTGGCACCTGGCACGCCCTCCAGGATGGTTGCCATCATCTTTTGGAAAGCAGAGGGTGCTGACGCCAGGCCATAGGGAACCCTGCAATATCTGAACAGACCGTCATGGGTGATAAAAGCTGTAATATCTCTACAATCCTCATGCAGGGGAAGCTGATAGTATGCATTAGCCAGATCAATAGTAGAAAATACTGTAGCACCCCTAAGGCTGGTAAGCATTTCATCAATGTGTGGTAATGGATAACAGTCAGTGATGACAGCTTTGTTAACTTCTCTTAAGTCTGCACACATTCGTATTCCACCTGTTTTCTTCCCAGTAACAACGATGGGGGACACCCAGGCTGAAGCATTCACACGTTCGATGACACCTGCTTTTAGCAGACGGTCTAGTTCAGCTGAAACAGACGCTCTGACTGCAAAAGGTAAGCGTCGCAATTTCTGACGCACAGGTTTTACTGTGTGGTCAATTTTTGCCATGTGGACAAAGTTCTTTACACATCCTATTTCAGTATCTGTCAGGAATGTGGTATTGGTGGTCATGACAGAAGTGCAGACATTATCACCTTTTATTTGAAGTTGTAGGTCAGAAATCAAGTCCATGCCTAACAAAGCAGTCCCTTTATCCACAACGAAGAATGTGGCAGCAGCTGACGCGTTTGATAAACCCACTTGTGCTTGCAGGCATCCGAGTACAGGTATGTATTCCTGTGTATAAGTCACCAGACGGATGGCAGGTGTTGATAATTTTGTGGCACTGAAGTGACGTTTATAGATGTGAAGAGGCAGTATAGACACAGAAGAACCTGTATCCACAACGAATTGTACTGTGGTGCCAGATGAAGCAGGAGTATTGACAGTCACATTGCAATGCAGTTTCTTTGGCACTTCGGCAGAGTTCTCTAGATACAGCACTGTGACGTCATGTACTTGTACCTCGCGCACATCATTCGCTGAGGCTGAACGACACACACGAGCAAAATGTCCCTTCTTGTTGCATAATTTACAAAACAGCTTTGCAGCTGGACACTGTGCAGAGTTAGCTAAGTGTCTGTCTGAACCGCATCTGAAACATGACTTACGGGCTGACGAAGCGGAGGCAGCAGTCGGACGTGACCAGGGTTTCCCGCTCGCGTGTTGTGATTTGACTTGTACAGCTTGCACCGGAGCATCTCTATCGGCCGTCATTCTCTTTGCATGCTCAGCCGCGGCTTCTAATTGTGTTGCAAGGGTAGTTGCTTTCTGTAATGTCAGGTCCGGCTCGAGTAACAGTCTCTGTCTAATATCATCACTGTGCAAATGTTCCAGCAATTGGTCGCGGATCATATCATCCCCTTTATCACCGAAGTCACAGTTAACGGAAAGTGCATGCAAAGCAGCAACATACTGTTGTATGTTTTCGTGCGAGGCTTGAACTCTCTTTCTGAACGTATGCCGTTCCACGACAACATTAATTTTAGGCATGAAGTGTTTTTTCAAAGCATCAACGGCAGAATTGTATGTCTCACCGGTGTCTGGCAATGCGTAAAAGATCCGTTGGCCCTCTGCGCCCAAACAGTGAAGTAATGTTGCCCTTCTCCTAGCAACAGGCCATGCATCACCCACTGCGTTGATTACCGTCAAATAGTTTTCAAACATGCGCAACCACATGTCGAATGGCATGGTAGGCTCTCCCGGGCAAGCCAGAAACATTGACGGTGCAGATACATGCACGGACATGGTTGGTCAGTAGCTTTATATCAAACTTAGTATCCTCGTCGCCAATTTGTTAAGTTCTGGATGAGTAGTAAGCACGACATGTGTATCTTCAATGATGCTCTTTTATTTCCATCTTAACTTTACATGTGTTGACCGTAACTTCCCATGACCGTAACTTCACGTGACTAACACTCTACCTCTCTTCTTCTTCCACCCACTTGTCTAACCTCTTACAACACAGCGCCTCTAAAGGTAGCATTATGAATTACAGCAAAGGACACAACACTATGTCCTCCATATCCTTCGAATATTCCGTTCAATGGAAATTAGTGCAAGTGCTGAGAGTCTCTCTTGGTTCATTGTTGACCTTAGGTATGATTTAATCAGCTTTAAAGCCGAGAAACTTCTCTCACCAGAGGCAACGGTGACAGGAAGAGTTAGAAGCAGACGAAGAGCAATGCTCAAGTTTCCATTCAAATCTAGAAGTTGCTCCTTGTAGATGTAATCTAACATGTCGCTTGGTGAACTAGATGAATGATCAGGAAAGGTATGGACAGCAGCCCTGATCTCCATAATCAAATCCTCTGAATGTACAGTATGTCATGTAAGGCTCTTTCCAATTTTTTGCAGTTGTCCTCGAGTTGTCCCCTATGCATTGCTTCTCTCATGTTTTCTTTTGAGAACAGAAAACTATACATAGCGTAAACATCCTCCAGCTTACAGAATCGGTCATTAAGACTTCCAATGGCTGTGTCGACCAAGGGCAGAAAAAAATCTCTTCTGAAAGACTCTTCTGGTGTGGATTGTGTCTGATCTCTGCCCTCATATAGGAATTGCCGTGATGTTTTGCGTTGTCTTTTCTCAGGCAATGTCATGTCAATATCTAGAGCTTCTGCTATCTCTCTCGCATCCGTTTGACAAGCAGCAAGTCCACTTTCCCTGAAATTATTCAAGTATGTTTGCACTCCCTGAGTTTCCTTTTTAAGTGTTTCTAGAGAAACACTTGGGCTCTGAAGAATTTTGCTCACATGGTTAATCTGATACAAGACATTGTACCAGATTACCACACACAGGACAAAACGCCAGGTCATTAGCTCATTCTGAACGCTGTTTGCTATGGACATTGTCTCCGAGTCTTTCTTCTCCACAGCAAATTTCTGGAGGGCAGACAGGGCTTCCACAATCTCTGGCAGTTGGTAACGTACCACCTTCACGCTATCAATTCGAGCCTCCCACCTTGTTGTCGACAAAGATTTTACAGTAAGATGCTTCACATGTTGCTGCAGTACTGCCCAGCGCTGCACAGATGAGCTAAAGAGATTATACAGTCTCTGCAGAACACCAAAGAAAGAGACTGATGCCACCGATGACTTGGCTGCATCTGCCAAGACCAGGTTCAGAGTGTGACTGCTGCATGGGACACAACATGCCTTGTTGTTCAGCTGCAAGATCCTAGTCTGAACTCCCTGTTTACTGCCCATCATATTACTTCCATTGTCGTAGGATTGGCCACGACAATCTGAAGTTGTGCTTCTCAAGTTTTTCCAAAAGGGTCTCAAATAGACCTTTTCCAGATGTGTCCTGTACATCAATGAATCCACAGAAATGTTCAGTGATGAAGGCTCCAACAGAAGATTCACAATTCACAATTCTCAACACAACAGTATGGCTTACGTCGGGAGTACAGTCCATTATGACAGAAAAGTACTTCGCTTTGGTCACCCTGCTAACTATCTCCTGCATTATTTTGTCTCCAATGATCTCGTTCTGTATTGTACTGCTAAGGTAATGAACCTTTACCTCTTTGTTTTGAATCCTCCTTATGTGTTCATTTAGAACGGGATCGAATTGTGCCATGAACTCTACCTGTGACAAGAAATTGCCATTGTGTGGGTCAAATAAAACATTTGTGTGGCCCCTAAAAGCATGATTGCGCTCAGAAAGATGGCAGATGATAGCAATCACTCTTCTTATAACACCTTTCCAATGTTGCACTTCAATCTGCATTAAATCTTGATGGACTTGATCAATGGTTGTTTTAGTTAGCAACCTCTTCTGAAGATTATGCCAGCTTTCCATATTCTCAGCATGTGCCTTTGAGTACTCATGTTCTTTTAAATGACTGGCTATATTCTTCCATGTGCGAAATCCACCTTTGCTGAGAGCATTTTCACATTTACCAAACAGCGTGCATGCAAAGCAAATTACTGCATCTGTGCTGATAGAGTATACAAGCCACGATCTCTTGATTTTCTCTCCATTTTTCATTACAATGTCATAATTGTCTTTTGTGAATCGTCGAGGAACTTTTTCATTATTTTGTGGAAACACTGCACCGGTTACTTGGACTGGGCCATTTCCCACAATTTCACAGCGCTCATGATGTTTAAGAATCCTTGGCCATTTTGCAGGGTCGTGAGACATTAGGAATCTTGTAGTACCTTTGTCAAGATCAACACTACTGCATGTGGAAGAAGTGAGTGGTGTTTCCTCATAGTTAGCAGGTTGTTGTTCCAATGTCAACAAGGTATATGTCACTAAAAACATACAGAAGATATTTAGTGACAAAATACTTTCATAAAGCACATAGCAGTATACTGAAATATATTAGCACTATACTGCCCTACAAAGGCAAAGCGCAGTAACTACACATTTGGTCAAAAATTCTGGTCACATTTGGGTTAAATTAAGTCTCGTTTCGGAGATGCATTACCACATAATCTACCCATAACGTGTGACTGGCTGGTATAAAAACTTTAAAGGCCTTTTTCTTTGTTTCTTTGTTTGCGTAGTTACTGCACTTTGCCTTTGTAGGGCAGTTCTGACACTCTAAACTTACCATTTTCACTCTGTGGAGGCACTGGCCAATCTTCTGTCAGAAGTGGTGGTGACAGGAACTTAAGTAATGCTCCTACATAAGAAACATATGGTTAGCAACTTATTTAATATTTATTTTATTATTCTATATTAGCATTATCTGACACTCTAAACCTACCATTTTCACTGTCAGGAGGGACTGGACAATCTTCTGTCAGAAGTGGTGGTGACAGGATCTTAAGTGATGCTCCTACATAAGAAACATGTGGTTAGCAACTTATTTAATATTTATTTTATTATTCTATATTAGCATTATCTGACACTCTAAACCTACCATTTTCACTGTCAGGAGGGACTGGACAATCTTCTGTCAGAAGTGGTGGTGACAGGATCTTAAGTGATGCTCCTACATAAGAAACATGTGGTTAGCAACTTATTTAATATTTATTTTATTATTCTATATTAGCATTATCTGACACTCTAAACTTACCATTTTCACTGTCAGGAGGGACTGGACAATCTTCTGTCAGAAGTGGTGGTGACAGGAACTTAAGTAATGCTCCTACATAAGAAATATATAGCCTTTTGTCAGGATCTTAATTGAATCATTTTTATTAATATTATTATTATTATTACAATGTTAGTTTATCAGCTAATTATAACTAATTTACTTTTTTTACATGTGTTTTTCAATGCAGAACAGACATCTTCCAAGCGATGTCACTGATGTGCGCATTATTCCCTGCTGCTGTAGGCTACCAACAGTATTCTTCTATTCCAGCCTACATTAATACCGTCCAACATCAACACTTTAGCAGCTACATGCTTTTGCTAAGTGCAACCCCCCTAGCTAAACACAGTTTTTACGTAACCATATCAACGTTACTAGTAATTAATCTTGCAAAAATTAAGTGAAACTAAACTAAAATTATAACAACGTGGATTGTGTGACTTTTTTTTTTACATTTCTGAAATCCATTACTCAACAGTCACCTCTGATAACAGATCACTCGAGATAAATAAATCGTTTCGTTGAATCGTTGTTCTGTTCACATCTCTTTTTCCACAGTAGTAACGTTATCGTTTTAAAACATCTTTACAGAAAATAAATGTAGCCTAGCTACATATGTTTTCTGTAAAGACGCTTTAAATCGATATGTAATGTTACTACTGTGAAAAATAGATGTGAACTGAACAACGAAACGATTTGTATGTCATTAATTAGCCAATCAAAAGTCAATCAATCATCATCATCTCATTCTCCATCACTTACCGCAGTCCTGTTTTCTCTTCTCCACTTCATTTTGCTTTTTTTCCCGCTTCTGGCTGCCAGATGGAAATGTCCTCTTCATGTTCAATACATAAATTCATGCATTTTCGGATATTATTTTGGGTTTCAGAAACGTGAGTAAGCGCTGTTTGAAAAAGGCGCCAGAGGCGGCGAAAGCATAAGCAGCCTCGCGACCTGTTGGCCTGAAACGAGACTTCCTTAGATTTCCACGACGCATGCGCGAGAACTGAACTGAGGTAGTTGAAGGAGATCGCAATTCTCGCGCATGCGTCGTGGAAATCTAAGGAAGTCTCGTTTCAGGCCAACAAGGAAGAAAAGGAATAGTCGAATAAAGTCGTTATTTTTGTTTGTTTTTTCGCACAAAAAGTATTCGCGTCGCTTGATAAACATAGTTGAGCCACGGTAGTCACTTGGGATATTTAAACATTTTCTTCATTGACTTTCTGGGCCGTCAAGAGGCAGTCCCTTAGGCAGCCAATGTGGTAGTTATACAGCTCTCAAATTTAATCAAAAATATCTTCATTTGTGTTCCGAAGACGAACGAAGGTCTTACGGGGTTGGTACAGCATGGGGGTGAGTAATTAATGACTTAATTTTCATTTTTGGGTGAACTAACCCTTTAATCCATTAAACCTTCAACAGGCAAACATTATTATATAAACTAAACACAAATAAGATATGACAACCTTCAGACTGAGTATTTTTTGCCATCAAATGTTTCTTATTAACAACATTAACTCATATTTGGCTTATTCCTATAAACAACATCCTTACACATTATATAGTATTAATGAACATTACATTCTTTTAGATAATAAACTATTGGTTTGTTTTATCTGCTATTTTCATGCTTTAGCCGATGGTTTTAAATTGACCAAAAATCATCCGATAGATTTCTGTTATAAATGCAAATGCTTAAACTAGAGTTCAGTGAGTCTCATCATGTGCCGTATCATTATAGTTGTGCTGAGGACTTTTTAGTAATACATATAGTTTTCAGACAACAGCTGGTTTCACAGAGGTCCTTCTGGGACAGACGGGATGTTTGCTATAGTTCTGGTTCCTTCAGACACACACACACACACACACACACACACACACACACACACACACACACAGGGGCGCAACTACCCAGTTTCAGAGGGGTATGCAGCAACAATTTTAGCGCCCCCCCCCCCCCCCCAAAAAAAAAAAGGAAAAATTAATGTAATGTAAGTGTGCTGTGTAATAAGTCAGTAGGAAGAAATGAGAGCTATTAACACAATTAAACTATAGCTACTCCACCTTGATGAACCCCCCTAAGAAAACTATAAGCTCCATTGTAACAGCAATAGCAGTGTTTCTCACAGGATTTTAGGTAAAACTGTGGTAGGTGGACCTCTGTTTCTCTAGGGGGGTTCGGGGGCATGCTCCCCCGTAAGAAAATTTTGTGTTCTGTAATGTTAAATTCAGCAGTCTGGTGCACTTTGAGAGTTCAAAATTGAAAGCTCCAACCCATATTCAGGGTGCAAATTAAACAGAGAAAAATTTGAACCTCTTTTAGTTAGTGTCTGTCTACATTACACTACTACATAATAATAGTTATAATATTAATCCCATGATAGTAGCCATAAAGGCTATTGTAAAACAAATGCACAGAAAAATAAAGGAAAGTTTCATAATTAGTTTTGCACTAATTTCTATACTTGAAAGATACTTGCGCATAATGACGTATTTCATGGGCCAGTGTGTCTTTTTTTGACCAATGCATTACACCAGCACAGCGCCGCCAATTAAGCAAAAAACAAAACAAACAACAAACAACAAACAAATGGGCCGTCGATGTATGAGTTTTGTGGGCCGTTAAGACAAATAAATTAAAAAAGGATGAAATGTATTGGCTGAAAAGCACGTCGGCCCAGCGGGAATCTCCCGGTAGTCACGATGGCCACCGAGATATAGCCTACATGTGTTGGGATGTCACATTTTAAATCCTACCTGTTGGCTTTCAGCAATGCATGCAGTTATTTAGCTGCTGTCGTATCAATTGACATGCCATCTCCTTTTCTCTCTTTCTTTTTCCATTTTTAGCCCCACAACATTTTGTTTAATCCATCTTTTTCGACGACAACTAACTACTCGTACCTGCTCGCTCAGAGCTCACGGCGCCCCCGCCCGCTCGCGATATTACCCGCCCCCCTTCTCCATGAGGGCGCCTATACTCTAGCCTAGCTGTTAGTCCTCTAAAGTTTTATATAACAATGAAGGAATGCAGAAATGATTTAGAAACGCACAACGGCAGCTACATATAGAAATACAATATAGCCTATATAATTTTTTTTTTTTTACCATCGCTTTGGCGCCCCCCATTGTGCTGCGCCCCTATGCGCCGCATATAGTGCATACCCACTTTTTGCGCCACTGCACACACACACACACACATCAGCTCTGTCTGAAAGCCTTCACACTCTGGATAATTCCTCTCAGTGTTCGTTTGAGGAAGGATCCAATCTCCCGGATTAAAGTTTTGACAGGTTGAGAGAAAAACACACTCCTCTGTCCTGAAGATGTCCTGATGGTGGAGTAATTGGTCCCGTGTGTGTGTGTGTGTGTGTGGTGTCGGATCCGAGGTTCAGGAGGTCCAACCTTTCCAGTGTCTTTTAATCAAGCGTCTGACATTTCTCTCGTTCATTATCGTGTTAACCCCGATCTCATCTCAGTGGAGGACGGATGTCAGGAACGGTTAACGGGACGGGACTGACGGGACCAGTGAGGAGGGCTTTTTAATAGAGTCATTCATTTAAATAATAGTGGCTATTTAAAACTGGTGTGTTCCAAAACAATGATAAAATGTATATTTGATATAAACTTTAAAAACTTAAATGGATCAGGGATTTGTATGACATCATGATCTTCTGTCCAATCAAATGCACTCTAGAATCTGAAGCTCCGCCCCCTCTGCTATAAACACCACCTGACCAAAGAGACATTGACACACCCGGAGCCACACGTGTTGGAGATGTTATATGTAAGTGTGTGTTGCTCAAACGCTCAAGTTTTAGTCTTTGTATCTGTTGGTTAAGAATGAAATCTCTACTATTGAATCCAGTGTATCATCAGTGCTCGCGTTTCGCTTCTGTGGTGCTGTCAGTCTGTGAGGTAAACGAAACACTATTGGCTATTTGAAAAGGGGGAGGACCCATTCAATAACCCCCGCCTTAGCTTCCTGTTTCAGTGGAAATTACCTCATCAAACAAAACTGCAGATCCAAGGCTCCTCAGTGGGACTTTAAATCAGGAGAGGTCAGGTGTGTGAGCCAAACTACAGACTACACACACCTGAGCGTCTGCGGTCGAATCTAAGCCTTTTCTAATCTGTGGCGCAGGTGCTTTTCACTCAATAATCCTCAACTCTCAAGAGAGAGGGTTTAAACTTTAAAAAGTGAAATTACTTGAAGAAGATGAATCACATTCCAATCCCTGACAACATACTCAAGTTATAGAAATGACAAACTTCTCCGTTTGGCACTTCCTCGTTCCGGCTGATTACACACTGGCTGCTAATGAATGCCGGTACGGCACCTTGGTTCCTCTTGATCGGATTTGGGAAATAATTTCTTCTGAACTTGAGCTCTCTGGCGTTTTGAGCCTCGTCTAGGCAGGAACATGATAGTGTGGTTTAATTTTAATACGCTAAGCTCGCCGCAGCCTCGTTGCAAATCAAAGTCTGTTGTGATTAAGACCCTCTGATGGCTACGTTTATAATGATTAAGTTTTAATTAAAAGCAAAGCTGTAGAGTAAAAGTAATGCGAGTTTATTGAGAGCTCATTCGCGTTCGTGTCGATGACATCTGGATCCAGATGTGTGGTAAATGAGCCTGTCAAGAAATCAGCGTGATTATGTTTTTAGAGACGTCATGTTTACAGCAGTTATGATAACCTTTATGATGAAGTGCTCAAGAGATCTACCTTCTCGAGCACAACACACACACACCTGGCGGCTCAGCGGAGCTTAATTAGGAATTCATCAGGAATATTCAGGCATAATATTGGTTGAAATGTTCATATCACTGTCATCAGCAGGAAAATGGAACTATATGCTACAAAAAGTGCACTGTAAGAAATAATCCTGTAAAAAAAAAAAACGTCAGCATCATACTGTAAAAATCTGGGGCCTCATATATAAAACTTTGCGTAGATTTCATCCTTAGAGTGTGCGTATGCACAAAAGTTTTCAGATTTATAACCGTACATACAGTACGCCAGAACCTGAGCATAATTCACTTTATAAATCCCAGTCAGCGGAAGAATACGCGCACATGCGTCTCCTCCCCGAAATAACCATATATGGAGATTACAACGCCTAGTTTTACTATGCATATCCTCATCTCATATC